TTGTATAATGACGTCACGAATTAATAGTACGATGCAATATTAAACAATCATACAAAATTGGTTATCTATGATCATCTTCAATTTTCTATTTTATTCTACCTCTTGTTTTTTTGTTTTCTTTTAATTTTCATTTTTCCGGGCGCATAGTATTTTTCGTTTGATTTCTCTCTCTATATGAATTTGCAGTCTCACTCGTAACCCCATTTTCTGTTTTGGACTTCAATTATACTACATTTTCAACTGCGAACATATAATTATTGCTTTGAACTTTTTTTTAATTTTAAGATTGCATGGATTCTTTATATGATAGCTCAATATTTAATTAACTTATAATTGAATTAACCAATTTATAAATAATCAACAACAAAAAAAATTCATAAACTTCACAGATAATGCCACATATGATGTGAACATAAAAGATAATTTTAGAAGATGAAAATAGTATTTTTCTTTAATTTGGTCTGCTATCACTTGGCATTATGTCATGATTCTCAGTCCAAAGGGAACACCCTCTCAAATTGAGGGGGAATCGTAATTGTGCGAAGTGAGTAAATGTCTAATTTCTGTGTTCAGCTGAGTTAAATTACCATAATTTGCATTATTCTAGATGTACTGTCGGACCGGGACGTAATGGGTCCATAAGGTTAGCCCGATTCAACCTTTTGGAAACAATGATTCTCACTCCAATTATATCATTAGCTTCTTGTATTAAAAATAAATAAATATATAATTGTTCTTATTAATTTTTTTATAATTAAGAGTTAATTACCGAAATGGTCCCTTGACTATAGCGAAATTACCAATTTGGTTCTTGACTATTTTTTTGACCAATTAAGTCCCTCAATTTTAAAAATCTTAACCAATTTGGTCTTCCGTTTGTTTGACCACTAGTCAACCGTTAACTTAGGACCAAATTGGTAATTTGTTATAGTCAAAGGACCATTTTGGTAAATAACTTTAAGGGTGGGCAATTCGGTTTAGTTTTCTCGATCCGAGCCGTACCAAACTAGTTAGATTCGGTAACATATCGAACAACCGAACGGTAATAGATTCTTGTATACCGAACCGTTCGGTAAAAACTCGAACCGAACTGAATTGTTCGAAAAAAAATCGAACCGAACCGAATACCGTTTGAACTTTGGATTGCTATTTTGTTATATATTAAACTTTGGATATGGACTATGTAAACACCATAACACATAATATAGAACTTTTGATAACAAACTATAAAGAAATCAAATAAAACATTTACGAGATATACCCGTGAGAATATGAGCTGAATAGCAGAGCAAGCACCAAGGGAATTGGATTTACTTTTTATTTATTTATTTATTTATTATTATTATTATATTTTTTAAAAAAATCAAACGGTATTCGGTTCAGTTCAATTTTTTACCGAACAATTCGGATCAATTTTTTATCGAACCGTTCAGTACACAAGAATCCAATACCGTTCGGTTGTTCGGTATATTACCGAATCAATTGGGTCGGTACGGTTCGATTCAAGAAAACTAAATCAAATTGCCCACCCCTAAAATTAATTACCAAAATGGTCCCTTGACTATAGCGAAATTACCAATTTGATCGCAAGTTAATAGTTGACTAACGGTCAAACAAACGGAGGACCAAATTGGTTAAAAATTTTAAAGTTGAGGGACTTAATTGGTTAAGAAAATAATCAAGGACCAAATTGATAATTTCGCTATAGTCAATGGACCATTTTGGTAATTAACTCTATAATTAATATTGTGTTGAATGATGTGACTTATAAATTTTTTTACAAATCTTTATGTTTGATAATTATGTCTATACATGTAAATTATACCATCGCACCACAAATTAATAAGATGATGGATATTAAATTGGGAAATCACCATTTAAGGCCTCTTAATTGTTTTCCAATTATTAATGTAGTTCCTAATTTTCAATTTAAACTAATTTGACCCTCGAATTGTTTAAAATTTCGTCAATTAAACCCTTCGATGATTAAATTGACAAAATTTTAAACTATTCGGAAATCAAATTAGTTGAAATTGAAAATTAAGGATTACACAATTGAGAATTAATTGACAGACTAAAATGATGATTTTCTCAAAATTTAATACAAAGATTAGGATGGTTTGAGGGGATAATATTTGTTTAGGGAAAGAAAGTTAGTTATCTATAACAGAATTTCACTATATGTCTATATATATATGGTTTGGTAGCCAAATCAAGTTTGCCAAATTCCTCTTCAATTCTGTTTGTGATGAGCTTGCGGCAGTCTCAAAGTCGCTGCCTCATTAAGTCATTTTCCTATTTTAGACTCTGCTCCCGTTTGGCATCATGCGATGGGTTAAATCAACCCAATTATATCTGAATTAGTTTCTGATGTGATATATTTCGTTTTCATAAATTAATTATTTCCTTTTGCCTTATTTTCTAATGTTTATGTATATATATTTATAGAGAAAATTTCAATTTTGGTCCACTGACTATTGGGGTTGTGTTAATTGCAACACTTGACTTTCAAAAATGTTAATTGAGTACCTTGACTATGCAATTTCTTTCAATTTTGGTCACTCCGACCAAATTACCGGTCAAATCTCACCGAAAATTTTTAATAGGTCAAATAATGAGGGCTTTTTTGGTCATTTTACTTTTTACCTTTCTTCTCCGGCGAGCAACTCCATTTCCGGCGAGTATGCCGGCTCAAAATCAGTCGCTCCGGCGAGGCTCAAACCCACACCCACTATTGTTCTTGACTGAGGCTCCGGCGAGGCTATTTTTAGATGGCAAAGCAATGAGAAACCAGACATGACACAACATTGAATTTCACCACCTTCGACACACTACTGTTGGTTTTTTCTATTACTGGAGCACCGAATATCGGAAAGAGTGGTGGGTTTATTTTGCTAGGGAGAATGGGTGAATCGCAGGCGAACGGCGGCGGAACGGAGTTCGGAGTTCAAGAAACAAAGCAGATGGAAGTAATCGAGGCGAAACAGGGGAAGAATAGGGAAACAAACAGCGCAGAACCGCCGCAGACGGCTGCGACGGCGTTGAGGTGGGAGAGCTTTCTGACGAAGATGGTGCTCAGAGTTTTGTTGGTGGAAGCTGACGATTCTACTTGCCAGATCATTGATGCTCTTAGTTACCTTACTCTGTTCAGCACTGCTTCGGTTGGTAGCTAGTGGTTGAGCATTTAATTCATCCGACGATTTTACTCTGCCGACTCCCATCCCCTCTCCTCTCCGCCGCATCTAAGAGAATCGGGAAACTCATCGAATTTCGCCGGAAATGGAGAAACTCACCGGGGAAGAAAGAAAAGACGATCAAATGACTAAAATACCCTCCTTATTTGACTTATTAAATTTTTCCGGTGAGATTTTGGCCGGTAATTTGGCCGGAGTGACCAAAATTGAAAGAAATTGCATAGTCAAGGTACTCAATTAACATTTTTGAAAGTCAAGTGTTGCAATTAACACAACCCCAATTGTCAGTGGACCAAAATTGAAATTTTCTCTATATTTATATATACTTTCCCAACCTAATGAAGCACAGTATCGTCTCTATTGAAGTTCGAACTCATAACTTCTGATTTGAGAGAGTCACATTATGTCACTCGACCACAAAATTATTGGCTGGTTATTTATAGTTTAGTTTTTTGAAATATTTATAACAGTACTTTAATCTACGAGCCTTAGCTCCCAAAGCATTCAGGATCGAAGTAGCGGCCTTCCAATTGTTCTTCGAAAAGAATGACTCAATACTACTATGTCACAAAACCTAACTTCAACATGACTTACCAAATTTTCTACACAATTTTGTAAAAATATTCTCTAAGAGTATAGATCTTAAAACCAATCTAACTTTCCGCCAATTCTTATATCGTAAATCATGAATGGTCCAACATGAATATTGTGGACCCTGATCCAAATATATATATATATATATATATATATATATATATATATATATATATATAAATTATGTGTACATAATCTCTAGTTCATGATATAATTTGTGACTTTCCATTTTCATTTTCTACAATCAAATAGTAAAAAAGGTTTTTTTTTTTTTTTTTTTTTTTAATTTTATATTATTTTATTTTATTATTTTTGGGTGGGTGGGTGGGGGTGGGTGGGGAAGCTTAACCAGACAAATAATTATTTATACAATTACTTTTAGTCAAACTCCACTACCAAATTTGACAACACCTCTCCTGCTAAGCTAATATTAAGCCAATATGTGTAGTAATATACTTTACTTGCACTTCAATCTTTAATAATTTATGAAAATATCATCGTATTTAAAAATAATAATAAATTAGTGTTTCTGATCTGTTAGACCTGAACACATGGACAGACGATGGCATGAATTCTCATTCTTTTTCTGGGCGAGTCATTCGCACCCGAACGCACTCTTCTCTCTCTCTCTCTCTCTATATATATATATATATATATATATATATATATAGAGAGAGAGAGAGAGAGAGTTCAGTCACGGCCGGAAATTTCGCTATTTCCGTCTAAAATTTCCGTCCAACAAAATGTTGGTCGGTAATTTGTAAAAAGTCACAACTTTTCGTCGAAAATGAGAATGAATGAAGGATGGAAATTTCCGTCCAACTCACGATAGTTGGACGGAAATTCTGTCCAACATGTGAGTGTTGGACGAAACTTATGATCTACACTAAATATTTGACAGAAAATCAAATTGACCATAGATGAAATGTAAAATCGAATTGACTAAATACCGTCCAATATTATTATTGGACAAAAATTAGAATATTTAAGCATTGTCAAAACTCATTTTCTTCAAATTTCGCTCAAAACACCAAAGTCTTTGGCGGTACCTCCTCCTCCTCAAAACCCTATTCTCTAAACACTTAAGCAGCAGCGGACACAGCAAAATTGCCTTCCCCTACGACGACGACGCTTCCCCTGACCTCACTTGCGATGAAGACGAAGATGACGCCTTCCCTGACCTCTAGGCTGCGACGGCGCTGTAGACTCGAATGTCGCCGCTCGCCCGCCGTCCTCTGCGACAGATCTAGAAGGAAAACCTCGACTTCTGGATTTGCAGTTCGAAGACTCGACTGAGTGTGAGGCGAAGGGTTTGGTCGCGGCGGAGTGAGTCCACCAAGGTTGACGCGGGGGAGGAGGGAAGAATAATGCGGAGGAGACTAAGTTTTAGCAGGGAACAATTAGGGCTTAGAGCTCGCGGAGAAATGAAGACGATGAAGGGAGGCAGAGTCATGAACCCTATCGATGCCGGAAGGAGCTTCGCAAGTGCGAATTGAAACGAGTAAGTTTTGCTCAATCTCCATTTACTCACAGGCCTTTACATACTCAAGCATTGGTCTAGAAATTGTTGGTTTGAATTTTAATTTTATCCCCTAACTGAAGAAAATTAGATATTAAAAGTTGGTGTATGTGTGTGTGAGATATAGCTTGCTGTTCTGGCAAAAAAAAGAAGTGTATTGCTTATAATGATAATATTCTAATTCTCATTGTGTAGTGTAGATTGCCAGTTCCTAGCGTGGTTGTATTGCTATAATTTAATGCTTATAATGATAATATTCTAATTCGAACTGTGTAGAGTAGATTGACAGTTCCTGGTGTGGTTGTATTGCTATAATTTAATGCATATAATGATAATATTCTAATTTCCGTTGTGTAGTGTAGATTGGCAACTGCTGGTGTGGCTGTAGCTTGCTACATTAATTTCTATGCAATTTTGTCAGTTAGATAACAAGAAGCTCAAAACTTTGCCAAAGAGTAAAGATAGGAGTCCTCTGATGCATGTCAGTCACTGCAATCTTTTTATTGGAGTTTAGAGCATTTGTTAGAAACATAGAATGTAAATTTATGTAATTAGTTTAGAAATTAAAAAGAGTTAGCAATTTAGCATCTTTTCTCTCATACTATTAATGAAGTTTCAATACACTTAGGATTTTGATCAGTATACACGGAAATTTTGGACGAATGTCCTGCATAAAAGAATTGAATACATTTTGTTAAAAGATGACCCAAGAATAGGATTGTGATGACAACTTTTTGGATTTGCATTTATCATTTTCATATCTGTGGATAAGGTTGGTTGTTAATGTTATTCAGCATTGTATTTTATCACTTTTTATATTGCTTTTAATTAATTTATATCCTCTGCTGAGTGGGCATATATTTGACTGTATTGAGATGCTTCCCTTTAATTTCTTAAAAGATATGAGCCCCTCAGATAGATCTTACATGGTATTTTCCAGTAAGGAGGAATAGGAGATAGTGAAGGAAGATGTCACATTGGCTAAAGTTCAGTCACTGGTATGAAGGACTGAGTTAGTTTTTGTCTTCTAAAGTTGGGGCTGTTATCAGGGTATAATATTGCTGGCTTGAAGATGCTCAACAATTAGGAGCAATTAAGGGAGATAGTATTGTTACTCAGTATCTACAAGAACAATCATTGAATTCATATGTGTGTATGTTAAGGTGATAGGGTGAAATTCATGTGCATTCATATCTACATTGGTACATTGAAGCTGCAATTAAATGCATATTTGTTAAGGTGATAGGGTGAAATTCAGGAGGATGATAGTCTTGGGAGGAAAGATGTTTTCCAAGTAAAAGTAAACTGAGCTTTTATGCTTTGCTTTTATTGTGAACAGGAGTATTTTCTAATGTTGCCTCGATTTCTTACTTGAGCTCAATCTTCAGTTTATCTTATAATTCTGAATATGCATACAGTTTCCAGATGTTAGTTCAGAGGCTTTACTTAAGTTGGTGTTTTGCATATGCACTTTTGCAAGTCCATTATAATGTCAGTCTGATGAGTTATTTATTTATTTTCACCTTTTTCTATGTTCTAGGATACCATGGTAGTTTGCCACTTTCCTGTTTAACAAAGGTTGAAGAATATCATGATAGTTTGCCACTTTCCTGTTTTCTTAAATCATGGAGCGTGATCTTCAAATGCAACTTCAAATGCAGCATTGATGGTAGAAATTCAACAAATGTGGGAAGAAAACAAAATGATGAAACACAAGTCCTTCCTGATGAAGATTAAGTATTTTATGTTTTTATGACTTCTTGTGTATGGCAATAGTCCATTGCTTAAATGTTTATGAACACAATACTATCTTTTTGTTGTAAATAATTTTGATATTTAAATATATTTTCATTTTGAATTTAGATTGTGTACATTACTTTGTTGATGATGTAGAATTTACCGACAACAAGTAAAACAAAATTATAGCAATATCAAAATAATAAAAATAATTTATATAAATATAGATTTTCCTACCAACCATTGGTCACAATTTCTGACCAACCGTTGGAAGGAATTTCAATATTAAAGCGTATGAGTTTTCCGACCAACGAGTAAAAGTTGGACGGAAATTTCCATCCTAAAAATGGTGGGTTAACATCCGGAATTTCCGTCCAACTTTGACCCGTTGGACGGAATTTCTGTCCAACATTTGATGTTAGACGGTATTACCGGTGTTCATTTTTCCGGGGTCTCGTTGTGGTAGGAATGTTGGACGGAAACCCGTTTTCCGACCAATAACTCCCGTTTTCCGTCCAACTTCCGTTAGACGGAAATAGTGAAATTTCCAGCAGTGAGTGCTAACTCAAATGAGGATTCATCCTTACAAAGAGAGGGAGAGATAGGGCTAATTTTTTGTAGAAAGTCTATTCAATCCCCCCCTCCCCCTCTTCTAGACCTTCAATTCTCTACTTTCGTGATTAACAATGATTAGTCAAGAGGACTAATTTCTTTGGAAATAATCGCAATGACTCTTGAAGTGTTTTTACATTTGAATGGCTTGAGAGTTTTGAATTGCTTGTTCGTTACTTTTATATGTGTCTTATTTTCACGCTTCAAGATTGCTCTATTTATAGAGCTTCGAGATCATAACATTTGAAGTGTTTCCATTGGCGCCATCTAAGATGGTAGGTGTCTAAAAATTTCATTTCCTCCTTTTACAACTACACGCTTTTGACCTTTAAGTAATTCTCTTTCCGTTTGAGAATGGCATTACCCACCACTTTTCAAAGGACAAAAAGCATGCATGTTTGCTCCTTGTTAGAACTTATCTTGAGGGCAGATGACTTTAATGAATGCATGCAACAGCTCTTATCATGAATCAACAAAAGACTTTCCTCGTACACTCTATACTTCTCTACTGGTTTTTACGGTTGAAAATGTGTCGGTCTTCGCTTAGAGATTTCTGACAAGTTAGGTCAGATGGTAAAACATTTTATAGAGAATCTAACAACAAATATCTGAGATATGATGTTTAACCTTATAACCAACTCAGAAAATATCAGCCGGATAAGATTTGCCAGAAGTTATCACAGTCAGTTTCCCTTAGACAACCTTCAACTAAAATCCAGGCCTACAAACAAAACCTAAGGTTTGTTGTAGCCAAGACCTTAGCCGGAAGGCTTTGAACAAAGCTTAAAAAGAATTGGATAGTCTAAGTTCCTAATTTACAAATATAATACCATCAAAATCTATACAAAGATTATTTCTAGCATCCTTCCATTGGAATTCTTTAAAATTAAATAGTAATTAAGTAATATAACACCAAAATTCTACTAAACTTATTGAAATATATATAATCGTAATAAAATAAATATGAGATTAATAATAAGTTCAATTAAGCACTAATTAAATTGATAGCTTAATTGTGTTGAATTACCTTGAGTCCAAATAAAAATAACCATCAATTGTGCTCTAGGTGAAGTGTTTAAATGAATTCGATCAATTGACTTTTAAACTACTTAATTGCCTAGTTAATGAGCTTGATAAATAATTCTCCACTGGATAATTAAAATGACAATATTGCATGTGCAATTGTTGTCGTGGGCAAATTATACTGTACACTGCGGCCCACAATGTATTGTGATTCAGGCATCAAATATGCACTCACTACTGGAAATTCTGAAATTTCCGACCACCTGAAAATGATCTTAAATTAAGTTGATACCAAAAAGTCCAAAAAGTGGTCGGAAATAGCAACAAAGGTTTTTCCGGATACCAAAAGTGGTCGGAACAAGACTTTCAACTTGATTTAAGATCACTTTCAGGTGGTCGGAAATTTCAGAATTTCCAGTAGTGACTGTAGTTCCATTTCAATACAGCTACAGTGTCATTTTGATATAACTACAGTTTCGCTCGATAATATACATTCAAATATGTGAAATTGTTATTCAATTTCATTTTGTATACACTACAGTTTATTTCAACACAACTACAATTTCATTTCAATTCAATTACAGTTTTATTTGATAATATAATAAAAATAATACGTGAAATGGTATTAGTTTAAATACACTATAGTGTCTGTGATTTTGGATTATGGTTCAGAAAACTTTGTGAACTGCCGTATAATTGCTGGTTATCGTGCTATGTCGGTATTTTCTGCTGAATTTGAAGATAATTAGAAAGCAAGATAAATGATTGATTTTACAGAGAAGAATTGTAAGATTGAATATTTAATATTTTTTTTTGGGAGAAGAATATTTAATTCTAAGTAGTGATATTTTTGGATAATGTTGATATTATATATTTAATTATTAAATGAATAGATAATATCAGAAGACTTAAAAAAAGTCTTGTCGGCCGGTCGAATACTTCATATCACACCGTTATAAATATTGATTTTTTTTTTTCTAAAAGCAAAAATCTCAAAAATCATACTGAATGAACCCCTATATTAACTTTTCTAGATACATCTCAAGAATATATATCGAAAATTTAATGAAATTTTGTTAGAATATTTAATTTATTTTAAATATCATATTCCTTCAATGAAAATTAAGTTATCCATTAGAGATTAAAATACATATAAATCTTTCATTTATGGACGACCAACCACTTTAATTAGTTTTGGAGTCCATCATTATCAATAAGGAAGAATTCAAGTGAAGAATTAAAATGGAGTTAATACCGTACCTCGACTATTAAAATTTTATTATTTTGGTCCACAATTTTTATGCTTGTTCAATTGCATCCCTAATTATGTAATTGTTAACTAAAATGGTCCTAATCAATACTATTTTGGTTTGGACAATAGACTATTTTAGGTAAAAATTGCATAGTTAAAATAAAATTGAGTAGGTTTAAAAATCGAGAGGCAAAGTAGTAAAATGTTAATAGTTGAAGGACCAAATCGAGTATTAACTCAATTAAAATGTTATCTAGAGATACTATACTCACATAATTACATATATTGATTGTATCTCAATTTAGAGTTGAATATAGGTACTAATTAATATTCTATTTTTGTATTGACACTATTATATATTTATATCACCTAATAACTGATTACATACTAGTTGATAAGGAATTGAAGGACTTCTTATCTTTCTGTCTTCTACTTAATCAATAAAAATAGTGCAGGACAAAAGTATATATACCTATCAAGCTTTTCAGCATGATAGAAATTCCACACAATTTTTTCCCAATAGATAAAACCAATTATTTGAATTCCACACAATTTTTTCCCAATAGATAAAACCAATTATTTGAATTCCACACAAATTGCCAAGTGTCCGTTAGTTGTTTCCATGTGACATTCGTAATCACAGTGTGAAGACATCTAAGCTCGAAAGAATAATTAATTTGGAAGTGTTTGGTTAAATTGAATAACCAATATACAATTTCTGCTAGAAGAAGGGCTTGAACCTTCATTGAATCAACCAATAAGATCTCTCAAATTTTATTGAAGTTTTGAGAACTTGAGTAGAAGTTTTGAGACGATTAAAATTTGATGCTCACATGTCATAATGAAAAGCATTCGAGGAATAAAAATGTAATTTTTAAGGAACAAATTTCACTTTTTTGGGGGAAAAGAGAGGGCTAGTGACTAATGTTGGCGGACACAAAAGTCTCAATGTTCGCACACAGATCGTCACGAACTTCCTTCGGTGGGTGGTGAAGATCCATCCAATCGCAAAGCCGTCGAGGGGCCTCTCCGGCTAGTCAATCCGCCGCAACATTTTTTTCCCGGGGGATATGTTCCACGATAACTGACCAATCCTTCACAAGCCAATCCTTGCACCATTTGATTAAGGTACCGCAGTCTCCAAGAATGACATGTTGCTCATTGAGTTCTATTCTTTTAATTTTGTCATATTATATCCTTAACTTTGAGCAAACTCTACTTTTAGTCCTAGACTATTGTGACATTGCCACATTTAGTCCCATTCTTTTAATTTTGTCATATTATTTCGTTGACTTTTAATCCTCGACTATTGTGGCATTGCAACATTAGTCTTATTCTTTTAATTTTACCATATTACTTCCTTGACTTTGAGTAAATTTCACTTTTAGTCCT